GTCGTCATAGAACGCTAGGTAGGCGCAGACTAAAGCAGAAAATTTATGCAAAGAAGTCGTAAGCTCCTTGGTAGACCAACCAGTTACGAGTACATCAATCCCATCCTCACGAGGGTAGTTCCAGTTTTGCAGAGACTATCCATCAGCTTCTCACCCCCCCACCCCTCAAGCTACTATAGCCAACAAGTCCTCATCAAATGGCAAATGGTTGTTGACGACTGAATTTAGAGGCGTCAACCATAGGCTTGTCAGCTATAAATTGTTAGCTCGAACATTCAGAGGCATTCACAACCTGAGCGCTAGTAACTTCACGATTCCAGTACTTTAAAAAAAGACATTCACTTACATGACTTGACTCCTTATAGAAGAAGCGAACCATTTGCACCGAAACATAAGCTGGCAACCGATCAATAAGTACCTAAACAACAAAGTTTCAAGGGATAAAACCTGTGTTTTGGTGCGGATCATCTGAGGTATTCAAGACCACGTGCTAGGCTTGGGCTAAAAACCGCACTTATTGGATCACATGGCTCTTTTGTGCACTCCGGCATTGGCGTACCCCTTTGGAAGAGCGCTAGTAAAGCCGTTCCTTGCCGAAGCTGCGAGGGGAGAAGGGGAGGTTGCGGACTTCGGATGTGAGTTGGGGTTGAACCGCATAAAAGAAACCGTTTAAATGGGCATTTCCTACAAACATGCGCCAAAAAGCTATTTAAGGGTTAGGCCGCATTCAATAACGACTCGCGCTTTTCAACCAATCGCGCTCCACTGCTAATCGTTGGGTCATCGTACAAAGTTAGGAATACGTTTTATGCGGCTGCGATTAAATTGGCAGCTATAGCGCGTTGCGCGATAGAGCGCGGTAAGTCACAGTGGCGCACTCTGGAAAAGCTTAACTGAGCTTCTCAAGTCGCAGAGTATGAACGCAGCCTCACACAAGGCCATTACAACCTAAGAATGACAAATCGTTGCCATTTAAAGGCCCCAGTGGCTATCTGGAAGACTTCGGCAACGAGAGTGACATACCAGAGGGCAAGGAATATGGAGGAGGAACCTTCCGAAATAGCATCAACCCGATGTTCCGCGTATAGAGTGAAAAACCGTGTTCTTTTCTGGATAAAACAAAGGCAAAAGGCAAAAATGCACATACATTTCGTTCCCACTTGGCATTCCGTCCGAGAACACTGCTAGTCTTCTCAATTTCTCCAGAAAGTTTTTCCTTTATCCCACTTTGGATATACCTAACTTCCGGCGACAAAAAGCAAGAAAGCTGAAATTCAAACCATCAAATGCGGATACATTTTCTACGGTATTTCTCAACGAGAAAAGAATTTTCTCATGTAGTTACTTATTCCTGATCAACCTACCTGATAAAATTCTTCACTAGTAACTTGTTTAGGCTCCTCGTCACACTCAAGGCACTTCTGAGTTACCTGATATCGGCCGCGGAAGAATTCCTTGATATCCTTACCAACGGTCTCTGAGAAGAAAACATCACTATCTTTCTCAGAATGCTAATAAAAATAGAATTACAGTAATTGCATTTTCGTGTAGTGGTTTCATTACGTACTGATTACGGTAATCCCATTTTTGCAAGAGTGCTGCCAAATAACGACTACGAATCAGGGCTATGGGAATTTCTGCCTAAGCTTAGGGGTGGGGCAGGACCGCGGACCAACTCCTTTGTGCAGAAAGTTTTCGATATTTCAAAGGCCTCGGGAACTCTGCAACAAAATGCCTTCCTCCACTGTGCCCCCCCCCCAAATTAAAGCAACTCCCTAACAGATACTCAAATCACTCACTCCGAAAAGTGTTGAAAAAGTAGAGAAAACTTTCTATAAACTGTCGATCAGAACATTCAGGGTGTTAGGAAAATTGGCAACTTCTGACGGGGGAGGGCACACAGCGGTGCAATGAAATAATCAATTCCCCTTTGAGGGGTCATTGTCGGCCTCAGAATAGGACAGACAGCCGCAGTTTACGCGAAACCACCACACAAGGCGCAAGCTAGCATACTTCCTCGCTGCGTGGCTCTCTCGACTGCAATAACACCCATTTTTAACTGCTTTAGAAAACAACTGGAGAAGAAGGACGAATAAGCCGCTCGCGCGCTCGGAGTGATCACTAGTCTCTATGTCTCAGGTATGTGATAAGCCAACTGTGGTACGCTGCGCTAGGCGTGACGAGCAACGCCGCGCACGCGACGGACGAGTTGTCCTGCCAGTTGTTCGAATTCAAACGGCAAAATGATAGCAAATATCGATGTCGAAAACTGCGGCTGTCTTCACTATCTCCTGTGTGCCCAGCCTTAACCACGGGCTGAGCTACGAGAGCCGACGGCCATAGTCGCCCAGAGATAGTCTTCAGAGAAGACATGATTCCTCTGAACCTAAGCCATAGTTTTCAGAAGGACACAAAGGCGGTGAATCTCTCACTACTTTATGGCCAGCGAAGAAAATGAATTCTATGGAAGAAGCAGGTAAAGTAATAGCCCCGGTCCACGTATTGCTTGCAGCAGCATGAACATAATGAGCTCAACAATTAAGCCAGTAGTGCTAATCAATAACGTATGAAATAGATGAGCCAGTCACCTTTATTTGACGAAAGGGCGTTCAGCAACATTCTCTGTATTTCTGAAAAACATTCGTTGGCGTCTTGCTGTTCAAGATGGCCATGTTCGTCTCGGGAACTAAATTGTGGCAGTATAGTGTGCAAAGCCTGAAAACACAACAGCATTGGTTTGATTATTGAACCGGCGAATACGCTGTACAGAGAATCTGGCGCTGTTCGGCTTGAGAGAGGCATTTCCACTTTCTCTAGTTCCTGCTAAATAACAACACAAGAAGACCTGTGAACTGCTGTCAAAAGCTCTAGCCATTGCATAGCTTAATAGGCCCTCCACAGACACCAAATTATGCCACACAAGTCTCGCCCCCCCACCCCCCCCCCCAAATTAAAGCAACTCCCTAACAGATACTCAAATCACTCACTCCGAAAAGTGTTGAAAAAGTAGAGAAAACTTTCTATAAACTGTCGATCAGAACATTCAGGGTGTTAGGAAAATTGGCAACTTCTGACGGGGGAGGGCACACAGCGGTGCAATGAAATAATCAATTCCCCTTTGAGGGGTCATTGTCGGCCTCAGAATAGGACAGACAGCCGCAGTTTACGCGAAACCACCACACAAGGCGCAAGCTAGCATACTTCCTCGCTGCGTGGCTCTCTCGACTGCAATAACACCCATTTTTAACTGCTTTAGAAAACAACTGGAGAAGAAGGACGAATAAGCCGCTCGCGCGCTCGGAGTGATCACTAGTCTCTATGTCTCAGGTATGTGATAAGCCAACTGTGGTACGCTGCGCTAGGCGTGACGAGCAACGCCGCGCACGCGACGGACGAGCTGTCCTGCCAATTGTTCGAATTCAAACGGCAAAACTGTAGCAAAGATCGATGTCGAAAATTGCGGCTGTCTTCACCATCTCCCGTGTGCCCTGTCCTAACCAAGGATTAAGCTTAGGGATGCGACGACCATAGTCCCTCAAGAGATAGTCTTCAGAGAAGACATAATTCCCCCTGGCCTAAACCCAGTCATGGTTTCGAGAAGTTATGGCCCTGGTCCATGTATTGCTTGCAGCAGCATGAACATAATGAGCTCAACAATTAAGCCAGTGGTGATCAATAACGCATGAAATGGATAAGCCAGTCACCTTTATTCGACGAAAGGGCATTCAGCAACATCCTCTGTATTTCTGAAAAGCATTCGTTGGCGTCTTGCTGTTCAAGATGGCCATGTT